ATGTTTAGATTTTATCTTTTCTGGTTAGAGGAACACAAGTCCTATGTTCTTCATTCATGACTAATTGGATGGTTCTTAACTTAAAATATCATTGGTTAATTCTCTGTTGACCATAGAAATCCAGAAATACTATTTAGGCCAATCTTCTTTAGCTGATGAGCTCCTGCTATAGCTGCTACAGGCTAAATATTCTCTTGGAAAGCACGAAGTTACCAAAATGTTACTGTCTTCCCTTCTTCCCTTCACCTTGCAGGATGATCTCTAACATCCCTACTTGCCTTTGTCCTTTTTAGGCAGTATCAGGAAAAAAAAAAACATTGAGATGCAGCTGCCTTTTCTTTTGATTTACTAGAATAGCTTAAGGCCCAGTTTGGACTTAGAAGTATTTCTGGAGACAAGAACATTGCTTTGTAGTTTGCCTGCTTCTCAATTCTCTCTTTTTCTTTCTCATGCACGAAGTAATTTTAAAAACTGTAAAAATACAGGTGGGGCAGGAAGCCAGAAAATGGTTTATTCACCTAGTAGCATGTATCTGGGCTGGGAGTGACAGGTTTACATCACATGTCAAGCATTGTAGCAGTTACTGAAAGGTTTATATCCATGGTTAAAGACTTCTACGGGTGTCATAACTGAGAGTGATTTTCCCCCAAGACATAGCAGCACTATTGTAAGCAAATTGGAGACCTCCAGATACCTAACATTAAAATTTCCATAGTCATTAGCCATGCTAATTGAGGCTGATGTGAGTTGAGTAGCAAAATCTCTAGAAGGCACAGACTCTCTGGTCCTACTCTTAAATTATCCAGGATAATAAATTAAGAAAAAAACCTATCAGGTACTTAATGTATGTGTCTGAAGGAAATGGGTGGGTCCAAAATGTGAAAAATAAATAAATTGATGGACATGGCTATACTATATATGTCAGGTTTCCCATCAAAGCCAGAGCAAGATTAAAAATACATTCATAATTGCCACAACAGTGTCTTTAAAGAATATTTGGTAATACTGTGAAGAACCTAGGGGGCCGAGAAAGAATGCCTTTGATCTATTTTTTCTACAACCAGCACCCTATGAGGACAATAATTTACAAATATTTCATTCATTTCTTACTAAATGGAACATCCACACCCAATTTATCTTGCCTGCAGAATTGAGAATTGTGCCTTCAGACTCCATCTCTTCTTATAAAATTGGAATCAAACAACCTGCACTTTTGCTTCACTGTAGGAGGTCCTTAGGACCCAGTAGACTTCTCTCTGTGAATGATAGACAGTGCTTTAAAAGGCCACGCAGAGCCCAGATGTGACAGCCTGTGCCATTCACAGTGAAGAAACAACCAGCAATTGCTACTGCAGGAATTATAGCAGCAACCACTCTACCCAACCCTGTTCCAGGCATAGGGAATCTAACAATATTGGGAGTATGGAACACCTTCCCAGAGGTGTGCATCTTCACCAACCTGTCTTCAAGGTGTAACTGCTTCTCCTACAGCAGGAAAGAACTTTGATTCCACAAGCAAAGCTGGTCATTGCAAACAGTAGGATAGCAGTCCTTGCTCCCTTAAAGGTGTTGGTTACAACATCAGTGTGTTGCCCATGGAAGATGAACATTTGAGACAGCAATTCTGAATACCACTCAGAGGTTCTAGACCATGTCAGGCAGCTATGAAGAGCTCACTGACAAGGAGGAAACTAAATCTGGAGTTCCTGCTGGCCACAAAAGAATCTGATGGTGGACTGGAGTTTGGTAAGCCACTTCTTTGTGGGATGTTCTCAGAAGGAAGTAGATTGAAAATTGCTGGGTTTTCCAGATTAGACTTTGGTGAAGGGTCTGAACTGTGAATATACTTAGATCACAAAGTTTTCCGGGATAACCTGTGATTTGTTTTCTTAGCTGCTTCTCCCCCCTCTCCCCGTCCCAAATAATATGTAAAGAGAGAAAATTGTTGCAAATTCCTCTTGGATTGGTATGAAGTTTGGAAGCACCTTGAGTTGGAAATAATGGGGATCATCAGAAGTTTTTTTTTAAATGAAAAGAAAATCCTATTTTTATTTCAAATGGATCTTTGGGCCTTTAACAAAAAGGGATCTCTTTCCTATTTTAGTTGCAGGATGCTTTAGGTTATTGACTTCCAGAAAAGAAATATATTTATGAATGTTGTTTTGTATAAGGCATTAGTGAGTCTTTATTAGAACACTCACCTCTGCTAAAGAAGGAAGAGTTTGAACTGAAAGAAGTGTCAAGAACTACGAAAATGAAGGTGGTGGCAAAGAATTTATCTCATCTTAGGAGTGACTTGAAAAATTGCTTGGGTTTGGTTAGTCCAATATAAAAAAAAGTTGGGGTTAACAAAGTAAGGGGGGGGAGTTAATTCTTATATGTTTATATATCAGATCTATTGTCCATCTGCTGCTCAAGCATTCTAAAAAGAAGATTTTAAGGCAAATCATACTCTAAGCAACCGTAGTGACCAACTGTATGAAAAGGATCTATATTACAGAAAAACCAAATGCATAAGTACAGAATAGGTAGTTCCTGGCTCAACAATAGTAACTGTGAGAGACATCTAGGTGTCACCACTTGAGTATGAGCCAGCAATGTGCTGCAGCTGCCCAAAAAGCCAATTCAGTCCTGGGCTGCATTAACAGAGGGATAGCATCAAGATCACGAGATGTAATAATACTGCTTTATCCTGCATTACTGAGGCCCCACTTGGACTACTGCATCCAGTTCTGGTAACCATGACACAAAAAATATGCTGAGACTTTAGAAAGTGTGCAGAGAAGAACAACAAAGATGATAAAAGGTCTGGAGTCTAAACCATATGATGAATGGTTGTGGGAGCTAGGTATGTTGAAGAGAACAATGTGTGGGACACATATAACAGTCTTCCAGTACTTAAGGGGCTGTCCCAGAGAAGAGGGGATTGACTTATTTTCCAAAGCACCAGAGGGCAGGAAAAGAACTAATGGAGAAAAGAGAAATCCAACCTATAAATAAGAATATTTTTTTTGATAGTGAGAACAATTAATCAATGGAATAATTTGTCTTCTTGGGTTGTGGGTGCTCCATCACTGGAGATTTTCAAAAATAGTCTGGACAACCATTTGACAGGGATGGTATAAGGTGTCCTGCCTTGAGTAGGGGGTTGAATTAGAAGATCTCTACAGTCCCTTATAGGACTATGATTCTACTCTCACAACAACAGAAATTAAAATTATGGAACTATTTTTTTTACAAAACTAAAATAAATCATTCTTTGTTTCAGAACTACAGGGTTCCCCCCCCTCTTTTTTACATTCTTGGTGAAGAGTTGTTTTCCTTTCTTCTTTTTGGTGGGTTTTAAAATTAATGCTATTGTGGATCTCTGGATTTGTGGGGAACCTTTGTCGAGGTGGCGCAGTGGTTAAATGCAGCACTGCAGGCTACTTCAGCTGACTGCAGTTCTGCAGTTCAGCTGTTCAAATCTCACCGGCTCAAGGTTGACTCAGCCTTCCATCCTTCCGAGGTGGGTGAAATGAGGACCCAGACTGTGGGGGCGATATGCTGACTCTGTAAACCGCTTAGAGAGGGCTGAAAGCCCTATGAAGCGGTATATAAGTCTAACTGCTATTGCTATTATAGTTGCCATAGATAGAGATACAGAGTTTCTGAACTGTCTCTAAGTTATTATGTTTATAATAAAAGGCAGGAAAGTAGATAGGTAGATAATGCAGGAAAGTGCGAATATAATTGAAGAAAGTTTCCAGTACAGTTCATTTGCCACTAGAAAGGCAAGTTGTTTTTTATTTAAGTTTTAAAACGAATACTTAACATGGATTGCCTCTTCCGAATACAATGAATATGTCTCTTCTCCAAGCCCCAGCCTCTAGATCTTCAGCTTTTTCTTCTTAATAGAGTCATTTCAGTGAGAGTATCTCAGTGGTGAGACCTTAGACTAAAGTTTAATACTCCTTTTCATCCACTTCATACATGTTGTTACCATGCCAGAATGAGTCACAATTGAAAACTTCCAAGAGTGCTATTGTAAGGAAACAATTAGGCCAGTGTTTCTCAACCTTGGCAACTTGAAGTCCTGTGGACTTCAACTCCCAGAATCCCCCAGCCAGCATACCTTCAAGTTGTCAAGGTTGAGAAACACTGAATTAGGCTCTCAAGAAATTCATTACCAGGAGAACACCAGGTATAATAGATTACAAAAATCAGGATTAATAATACTTTGACGTGATGTGAAGCAGTTGCTCCAGAACAGAAGTTATGAGGACTCAGTCATTCTTTCTTTAATATCCAATTCCCTGTATTGTCAAAAAGCAAACATCCAAAAGAGGGAAGAGCCCGATGTGTATAGTAGCAATGGTTTAACACTTGGTATGAGGGTCAAGGGTAGTGGCCACACTGGTGCTAGGAATCAAGTGTCTGGAGTAATCTCATGTTGTGTCAGTCTGTTAATGCCTGTCAGAATGCCAGAGGATATATGTCAATCAAATATTGAACAGAATCCTTGACTTGATGGATGCCTCAAAGAAGGGATTTTGGAAAATGGTCTACTCCTGCCTTTTTCAAGGATATTTTGGTGTGCTCCTTGCCCAAACCTATCCTTTGCAATTCTATTCATTTTTCATGTACCTTTGTCCTCACTACAAAAATAAAATGATTTCTGTTTTTTCCCCACTTGTGAGACTTTATGACCAAGGACCAAGAAGATGGACAGAAAGGGATGGTGCTGAAAGAACAGTTCATTTTACATGTCCAAATTGCTGTTGAGTCTTGCAAGGGAACTGCTATTAATTTGCCTAGAAAAATATTGAACATGATTCAGTGGTGGGATTCAAATTTTTTTACTACAGGTTCTGTGGACATGGCTTAGTGGGTATGGCTTGATGGGAGTGGCAGAGGAAGGATGCTGTAAAATCTCCATTCCCTCCCAATCAGCTGGGACTCCGGAGGCAGAGAATAGATGGGGGTGGGGCCAGTCAGAGATGGTATTTACTGGTTCTCCAAACTTCTCAAAATTTCTGCTGCTGATTCCTCAGAACTTGTGAGAACCTGCTGAATACCACCTCTGATGTGATTGGGATAAAACTGGCCTTTTTTGCACTTGTATTATTTTGATTTAAATGCATCAAAACAGATACTGAAACTCCCTACTGTTAGAAGAGAAATGGATATAACTGTGTCTTGTAACTTCCCTGTCACAATAAACACCTTCCCTATCATAATAAAAAGTGTTAGGAAGAACTCTTGATTGATCAAAGGCAGAAAAAAGTACTAGATATCTATGATCTCACATGGTGCATGGAAGATTGGCCTTGGGACAGAAGGGGAGCAAATGGTAAAGAGCATGAATTCACAAGTGGAATGAAAGCAAGAAAAAAGCCAGACATTTTTTATGGCTGTGACAAAGTTTAACCTAAACCTAAAAACCTAAAGTTTAAGTCTATTCATCCATGCAAATGATAAAACAATTAAGGTAAATCTAAAAGCATGATCATTATTAGGATGAAAGCTTGAGAGAGTTACTGAAAGCTATAAGGATGATGAGAGATTCTGAATATGGGACACATAATTTTTGGCAATGTCAAGAGCAGAACTTTGGGTGAACAAAATGATAGTACAAGGAGAACACTTGCAAGGAGGAAAACAAATAAATCTGTATTATGGTCAAAGACCAGCAATACACATTACTAGAGGAAAACAAATGAATATTATTTGGGAATTGGGAAGATACAGGTTTAAGTTAATCCTCTCCTCATTAAGCTCATTAAGTGATTTTGACCAGTCAATATCTTTTATCTAACAGGCTGATTGCTGTACGGAAAATTGAATGAGAACTTGCTATGAACATTTACTTGAACTCTGGGAAAAGAAGCAGAATAAGCATAACAAGTAAATATTCAATCCAGGAGATAAATCTCATAACAACTAATTAGCAATATATTTTTCAGGAGATAGCAGTATTGGAAATAATTATTGTGGCCTGTTCCTTGCCGATGAACCTGATAAGGTTTATCAGGAAATTCCCTCCCGATCTCTTAACGGAAATGAAAGCAGCAGTGAATAATTGCAAGCAGTCTTCTTGGCACAACATCTATCCCCGTGCAAGCGATGACTTCATAATGCAGACTCTTTCCTTTCTCTTCCTTTCCCTTCAAGAGGAAGCTTGTGAAAATTAGGATGAAATCCGTTTTTGACATTACTACCACCGAATAAGGACAGATCAAAGTATTAGCATAAAGCATGAACTTTCATAGACAATGGGTCTTTCCCTTTTCATGCTTACCATTTATTTATATATTCAGTTTATAACTTGGACTTGCCTGGGTAATGATGTCTTTCTGCCATGTCCTCATGATGCCACATTCATCTTGTACCCCACCCATACCTGAGACCGCTTGGAGTCTTTCTTAACTATTCTAGTTATGATGTAATCAACCCCCCCCCCGAAGTAGCAACAGCATATAGCAATTTTACCAAGGGCACTGACTGTTGACCCCTGGGAGTGGGGTCAACTCTATCTAACCACTTGAGACTGGTGAAGCCACATCAGTTCTCCCCCTCTGGCACAAGGTATTATCTTCTAGGGCCATGCTGTTCAGACACAAAAGGATTGTAATCAGTGGTGGGATGTTGCTGGTTTAACAACTGGTTCGGTAAGTGCACACTTTGCAGCCATGTGTGTTTTACATGCGCATGCAGCACTGAAAATGGAGCATTTAGAAGCTCAGATGATTACCTTCCAAGTAAGCAATGGTAAATAAAACAGCTGGGGCTGGAGAAATCAGCTGTGCCATGCGATTGAGATGAGCTAGAAAGCTGAAAATAAAGCACAGGATAGAGCAGGAGCAGGTGGGCAGGCCCAGCTGATTGTCGGAGCAAATTGGTTCGCTCCCAGCTGATCGTCAGAGCTACCGGTTTGCCGGAACCAGTCCGAACCAGTAGAATCCCTCCCCTGGTTGTAATCTTTTAAACATACCAGTCGTTACTTTTAAAGCCCTACATGGTATTGGACCTGGGTACTTGAGAGACCGCCTCCTGCCAATTACCTCCCTACGACCAATTAGATCCCACAGATTAGGCCTCCTCCGAATACCATCCGCTAGCCAATGTCGACTGTCGACCCCTTGGGGGAGGGCCTTCTCTGTGGCTGCTCCGGCCCTCTGGAAGGAGCTCCCCATGGAGATTCGGACCCTCACCACCCTTCAGGCTTTCCGCAAAGCTATCAAGACCTGGCTGTTCCGGCAGACCTGGGGCTGATGAGTTCCCAGCCCCACTTGAATTGTTGTGATTGTTGTGTTGTTTTTAAGCTGTTTTTTGTATTTGTTTTTTGTCTTTGTTTGTTTTTTGTATTTCCCCCCTCCCCACCTTGTTTGTTAGCTGCCCTGAGTCCCTCGGGAATAGGGCGGCATACAAGTGTAATAAACATTGAACATTGAACATACCTGAAGTTTGTATTTCCAGACATGCCTTAATGCATCATTCCTTCCTTTTTAGCACATGTCTACCAAATATCCCCATGCAAAATCTGGGCTGCGTCCCCCCCGATGAGCAATAACGCTGCCTCAAGTGGAGTAATATTTCTTGTTTTATAAAAGGCAAGATTTTGATGTGGGCAGCAACAGATTGTGTGGTAAGTCTCTCACAGGTCATCACAGAGTCACTAGGGTGTTCGTATTTCAAAAGAAAGGGTTTTTAAAAAATGAATCTTAGAAACCATTCCTTACTGCTGCCATTGTCATTTCCAAGTGCTTTTCCCCATCATTTCTAAAGCTATCACATAGTATTATAGTGTTATGACACTTCATTGAATGCATATATGTAATCAGTTTTTCAGCACTAATTCAAAGATCAGCGTAAAAATTAGTACTACAATGGAGCTAATCGAAGAATTATAGCAGCTTTAGAAATTTCTTTGGTTGAAATGAACTTCCTTATTCACTGCAGCTATGTCACAGTTACTGGTGTAAAACACAAATAAAGTGCCTATGCTTAGTGTAGGAAATCACTTGGAATTTTTCTTGTAATCACAACAGAACTATTTTAAAAAGGCTTGGGGTCTAACCACTACTTTGCTAATAGTGTTTTATGTTGTCCTTTTATGAGAAGGGACAGAGAGCTGAAATTCGACTTTGAAGTCCTGAAAAAAAAATACAAATGGATTTTGAAATTCATTAGATATTTTCTAGGCTGGTTTCTTATTTAGTCATGTAGGCTAGAATCTTGTTTTTAAAATCAGATAAAATGTTACACAGCTCATAAATAAAAATGCACAGTTACATTTGCTGTACAGTTCTCCATACTATTTCAGAATGTAGACCTATATACAACTAACTGGAGACTGAACGAATAGTAAACTGAATAGTAAACCGAGAATAAACTATTGAACACAGTGAGTGGGACATCTCAGCAGCCATGAGTTACTATTATATAGTAACTATCTGAAAGGATCCATTTTAATTGCCTCAATTATCATTGAGGTAGAAGGAGAAAGTCACAGCTGGTGTAGTAATTAGAATAACAAATAGTCTAGTGCTTCAATAATAGAGGGAAATTGTTGGATCCTAACAGAAATCTATAATGCATATTTTCTAACTACCGCCATTAGCTAACTTTCTAAAGGAGAACTGTTTATGTAAGGATGAGCTTACTTTTTTCTGTGTCTGAGATCATCCAACCCAAGTTGTTATAATGTAAAATCTAAATAAATCATGTTTAACATGATTAAGTTAAGTCATATAAATTACTCACAAAGAACTGGTTTCTCAGAACCAACTAAATCACAAGCTCTACACCCTGCAGCCTAATATGTAGTATTCAATTAGCCTTTATATCATAGGGATAAGTGTGATTTTCTTAGCAAGACTATAGAAGTAGTTCAGCCATTCAAGTTAAGTAGGTTAGGAAACAGACTTTGGATGAAATATTAGAACTTGGTTATTGTACCGGTAGAATATAATAACAGAATCTTGAAAGCCAGACAAAGTTTTTCACCCTCCCCTTTTATACTAAAGAGAATCAAGGTAGGGCGACCTTGAAGTTTTTCCTCACCCTTTCCTGTCGGTCCAAGTTAAAGTGATGCTTAGATAAGGATTGTTGAATTCCTCTTTCAAGATGATACCTGTGTACCTCTACAGTGATTTCCATCACTTTCTTCAAATATTTTTTACAGTATCCCAATCTGTAGCCTATTAGAGCCTTTAGGTCAGGGGTGTTAAACTCAATTTCATTGAGGGCCGCATCATGGTTGTGTTTGACTCGAGAGAGGTGGGGTGGGTGTGGCCAGCTTAACATCGCTCGTGTTGGGGGCGACTGTGGTGGCCCGAGTGTTCTGCCAACAGAGTCTGTGAAAACAGACTCCCAAGCTCCATTTTTGGCTGGGACGGCTTCCTGCAACCCTCTGCCAGTGAAAACAGAGCTTGGGAAGGCCGGGCACAGTCCTCACAAGCTCTTTTTTTGGTTGGGACACCCTCCTGCAACCCTCCCAGGAAGCCCTCCTTAGCTCCATTTTTGCTTGCAGAGGCACCCTGGGCTGGTTCTTCACTGTTCTGCTGACAAAGGCACCAAGGGCCAGACCTAAGCACCCCCATGGGCTGGATCCAGCCCACGGGCCTTGAGTTTGACACCCCTGCTTTATGTGATGCAATCAAGATATCTCACTGAAGGCAATGAAATTTCATTTCATTCTATCCCACTCATTGTTTTGTTAATGCTTTTTTAAATTTTCTTTTACAGGAATTGAAAGATATCAGAAAAAGACACAGCCATATTGACATGCAACTTAGGCATCCCCCCGGCATCTCTTGTTAAAGGCCAGGCTGCCTAGAAATAGACTTCCTCGGAATGATGGTAAACAAAACTAGGCTTAACTCTACTCATGGACTTGATGCTTTCGGGATATCCCAGTTCCAGGAGGCCATTGGTGTTTTCTTCATGGTTATGCTGAGTGTCATTGCTTTGGTTGCCAACACAGCAGTAATGGTTGTTATTCTCAAAACACCTCTCCTGAGGAAATTCATCTTTGTCTGCCATCTCTGTCTGGTAGATCTGTTGTCAGCAATTTTCATCATGCCACTGGGGATCATCTCCAGTTCCACGTGCTTCAACAGAATTTTGTACAGCATCGCTGAGTGCCAAACACTGATCTTCTTGAATGTTTGTTTCATCAGTGCTTCCATCCTCACCATCTCTGTAATCAGCATTGAACGATACTACTACATTGTCCACCCTATGAGATATGAAGTTAAAATGACAACTGGGCTGGCCGTGACTGTGGTGGTTTTCATTTGGATTAAGTCTATGCTGGTTGCTGCACTGGCGTTAGTAGGCTGGCCGCAAGACAATGGTGCAAGCAGTGCCAGTAAATGTACTGTAAACTGGAGCCCTGGAGCCCACAAGAAGATTTTCGTGATAATCTTCAGCCTTCTCTGCTTCATATTGCCCAGTTTAATTATCTTTGCAGTATACGGTAGCATCTACAAAGTGGCCCGCATTGCATCCTTGCAGCATATTCCTGTCCCATCCTGGACAGCTGCACCCAGACAAAGGTCAGAGTCCATCCACAGTCAAGTCACCATCATCACTACCAGGAATGTGCCTCCAAGACTATCTCCTGAACGCTTTTTTGGTGGGAATAAAGCAGCCCTGACCTTGGTGCTGATCGTAGGCCAGTTTCTCTGCTGCTGGCTCCCTTTTTTCTCCTTCCACCTCCACTGCTCCTTCCATTCTGCCCCTTTGGTCCCTGATTCCATTGAAATAGTGGTGACCTGGCTCGCATATTCTTCCTTTGCAATCAACCCTTTCTTCTATGGATTGTTAAACCGTCAAATCAGGGAAGAGCTGGCCAAGATGAGACGACACTGCCTCAGTAAGTCTCTGAACCAGGACTTTTGTATCTCCAGCCCAGAAGGCTCTATTCATGAGAATTTCCTGCAGTTCCTTCAGAGGACTAGTTGCACGTTTGATAACCATTCAAGCTATGCTAATTCCAGCCCCAGGAACACTTTGGAACAAACTGCTTCGGGATTCAGAATCCCAGGACAAATCCCAGAAGAAACCAATTGAAGAAAGAATGCTGCGTTGTGTTTTTTTTTGTCATTTCCCCATTTCTTTCCTTCTGGCTTTGCATTTATCTTCTTCTGCACTGAAAATACTGAACAAGCTTTCCTTAGGAGAAGGATTGTCAGCTGAGCAATGGCTTTCTCTTAAGTGTAAATGGAAATGTACTACATGAGTTGTCAGCATCCTCTCTCTTTCCAGTGGCTAGCAAGAGTGTAAGTGATGACTCAGAAGCATCAGTTGTACTAATAACCAATTGTACTGAATTCACTGTGATAGCTGTGTGCAGAGACCTGACACCTTAACAATACTTGCAGAGGCTCCAGGAAAATATTATATGTGCGGGGGAGGAGGGTGTCAAAAAACCCTCCAAAGTGCTTTCCTAAAATACAATTAACCCTAAGTCACCGCCAAGAGTGGTGTTTCTTCCTATTCACATAGTGTAATGGGAAGATTTAGTTTTATAATGCAGAGCTTGCCTGGTTTGTATACTTAAGGCAAAGTCACTTTGTCCTTAAGAAAATAATGTGTCCCAATCCTGAAGAACAGAATTGCCCAGTCTCCAAAAACACAGGCCAGTGATAGACTGCTTTGACTTCTTTGGTATGACAAAAGGGAGAAGACAGACTTGTGGGAATGATTATGATCAATGTCACAGATAAAACAACCATTCTTGCTCCCATAGGTGAAGAAAGGTAAAGTTGTAATTTTCCATAATTTGGTGCTGTACAGAGAACATTCAGATCTTGGGAAGAATTCAGAAGAAGACTAAGATAATGTTCTCTGAATCACATTCAGCATATAAGAACTACTGTCTGTTTCCTGTGCAATAATAACTTGGGAAAAGTTGTAATACAGAGGTTTATAATAAAAAGCAGAATCCTTTACACTTGTGGTCGTTCTTGAACTTTTCAAATTGCACAAAACTTCTGTGTCAATTCTATTCCCCCTTCCCCATTCAGGACTACATTCAGTAAAATAAGGCAACCTTGAAAAAAGATTTCTTGAGAATTAATGCCATTTCTTTTGAGAAACTGTTTCACAAATCCAAACTGTCATCCTAGATCCTAAATTTCCCACTTCCTCTCCAGATTGCAGGTTAATCTAGAGCCTATGAATGAAGAGGGGAGGCAGAAATCTTCATACTACAAAGGAAGATTGGATCCCTTTGATTATCACATTGGTTACTTCAAATGGACAACTATTAGTATTCTTGGATTTGTATGGGCAACAGATGGTAACTGCCACTTTCCAAGGTCTTGGGAAGGCCGAGAGGAAGAGAGGGATCATATTGTAGATCTTGGATCCTCAATAAGACTCAGAAGAGAGCCATGCAGCTCTAATTCTGAATTTCTGTCTCAGTGCATCTGGAAAAATACAGTTAAAATAGACACAAAATTGGGAGAGATGGTTAAAATGGTACAGTCCCTTTGTGCCAAAAGGCATTCCAAATGAGTTGGCCTTAATCTGGAAAGAAAGGACCGGGCCTAGCTTTAAGACAAGAGAGTGACTTCTTCCCATTCATTTTAAAAATGCTAATTTTTGCAGCAGTAGGAATGGAGCCATCACTCAATGTGGCCTAGGGGCAACATATACCCCTGAGCTGGCATTGGAAAATATACCCTTGATTGGTTTGATGTGACATTTAAGTGGTGAGATCAAGATGGAGAGTTATTTTAATCAAGGCATTATTTGATTCCTGCTTATATATACTGAGTTTCACTTTTTCAAGGGCATATGCCTAGAAAATCTGTAGGCTGACTACTGTAGTAAAAAGTTAAGAAGTTTATCTAAAATAAGACCTTGCACAGAGTATAGTACTTTAAAAAAATCTTGTTAATATTAACAATTATGTGTATCTGGACAATTCTTTGTTAATGCAGTATAAGCAAAAACTTGGAGACATTTTTGAGCAGTTCTTTTTGATTTTTCTGTCTCTGAAGGAGGTTTGTATTGGAAGAGTGAGCTGTGCAAAAGCAGACTTTTGAGTATCATGTTGCTGGGAATGTAGAATTGTGACTCTAATGGAAACCTCCAGCTGCATCACTGAAACTCATTCAAACTGTGCTGACCTGTTTGATGCACCCTTTGATGTTTTAAAGGGATGCACCATCCTTGCCAGGGCATCAGCAGTGGCATGCCAATTGCTCATCATTGGCTCAGATCTGGTTCCATTGTGGTCCTTTTTTCTGCTCGCGGGATGATTTTAAGTGAGAATGAAAGGAGTTAATATATCTCTCAGTACTTACCAGAAGCAGATTTGAACAGCAGATCAGCAGAGTTGGTGCTGCTCAGAAGCAGGATGAAAAATATGGAAGGACACCAGATCAGGACTAGGGTTTATCTTGCTATTCCTTCTGCAGTTTCCTCTGTGCTTGTATCCTTCATACCCAGCTTGGGGACCCATTTATGAGCCAAGGCTCATAGGACTGCCTCTTTGCTTTCTCTGTCTGTGACCCAAATACTTTGGTTATAGAAATGCATAATGGATATAACGAGCTATGGGGAATACAGGTCCTCAAATTACAACCATAGTGACCGTTCAAAGTTACAGCACTGAAAAAAGTAATTTATGACTGTTTTTCCACTCTGGTGACCATTGCAGCATCCCCATGGTCACAGGTTCAACATTCAGATGCATGGCCAAACCGGTTCATATTTATGACAGTTGCAGTGTCCTGGTGTCATGTGATTGATCCCCTTTTGCGACCTTCTAACAAGCCAAGTCAATTAAGCCAGATTCACTTAACAACCGGATTACTAACTTAACAACTGCAGTGATTCGCTTAACCACTCTGGCACGAAAGATTGTGAAATGGAGCAAAACCCACTTAACAACTCTCACTTAGCTTAGCAACAGAAATTTTGGACTGCATTGTGGCCGTAAGTTGAAGACTCTCTGTATTTTAAAAAGGATACTCCATTAAAAAAAGAAATTGGCTCAGTCCTAGACTTAGGATTCTGTCTATACTAGGTCAGACTCTCCCCCTTTCTTAAGAGTTTCCATTGTCAACTCTACTGGCATCTGCTTGTCTAAGAGGGCAGATTCTTTTAATCTGGAGTGGGAAGGGAATAAACCCAATGTCAGGCCTGAAGCGGTTCCTTTAAGAATCTTTGGCCTGCCACACTCTTATTAAGGGGGGGATTTAGCAAAGGGTAGAATGTGTTGTTTTCAAAATAAAAAAATTCCTTCCTAGAAGCTCAAGGTCATCTTTTGTCTCCCAAACCTTTACACATGACCGGAAGCAGTTAGGCCTAGACGCCAGCATGGAGGAAGAAGATTGGACCACATGATGGACTGTGGGTGTGGGGGCAAGATCATGAACTTTTAAATGGGTGGGATTCTGATGTAACTTCCAGAGTTGGAATCCCCATAGCACTATGCCAACATGCCTGCTTTATTAAATTGGAACTTTAAGCATAGTTTTGCCTTTGACTCTGATTTAATTCTACATGGTATTTGGAATGCTGACATCCCAGCTGTCTTCATACACACTGGGTGCCCATTCAGGACCAGTAAAATTCTGTCCCTTATTTAATATTACTGTGATTGCAGTGATGGCTGCAAAAGAATTGTCCAAGGATCTGAAAAAGGAGCTTTAGCAACCTCCATCAAAATAACAAAATGGTTGCAAACAGCAGTTATATGAGCGGTGAAAGATCCTCTCTTACCAGAGGTGGATTGCTTGTGGTTTGGCCCGGATCGGGCAAACTGGTAGTAGCGGCAGCGGGAGGTTCCACATGCGAGTACAAACGTGCGAGTGCCCCTGAACCGATAGTAAAAATATTAGCAACCTAGTACTGTCTCTTACGGCCTTTTAGTGTTGGAAAGCAAAGGAAGAACAATTGTTTCTTCCTTCTCCAAAGTCATTCAAGAGCGGGCTGGAAATGGAGAAGCTGCTTTTGCTTTATCTCAGTTCAAAACAGAACTGCTTGGGGAATTCGGGGGGGGGATGGGGGGGGCTTCCACAAAGAAAACCTACAAAGGATATGGAAATAGGATGCTGGGGGGAATTTTTTTTTGACTCATTCAAGAGATGTTTTCTTCTTCACTTAGTTTGACCCAGCTACCACAGTAGAATGTTCAGTGGGGAAATCCTTTATATGCACTTTTTGAAGGGTACCTCCCAAAAGCATGTGGGCCATTCTTCCCTTTAATGTGTAATTATCTGCAATTCCCTGTACAGTATAGAAATAGCACCTTGGATTTACAGGGACTGAGTAGCCGGTCCCTTGATGATAGCCACAATTCTCATTTCCTTTTTCTCTCCCTTAAGCCTTATTTACAATGCAAAGTGACAAATATCCTTCTTCTTTCCTGCTGCAATCCAAGCCGGCAAGCAGGCAGAGTGAAATGGTAATAGAAAGTCCATTGATTGGACATACATATTCTCTCTTTCTCCCAGGTATTTTAATACAGATAAAGCTCAAAATGTTGTTTCATTGTGTTATTTCTCACTAGTTTCTCCTTTATGTGACATAAAGAAGTGTTGGCAAATTGTGAGAACTTGTGAAGCTACCTTTACTAATGAGCTAAGAACAATACACTTTCTCTCTCAATTCCTGATAAATATGTCAGATTTGGGTAGCCGAAAGAAGAAACTAAAGCAAAAAAGGCTACATGGTAATAAAAAATATCCAACAGGTACTTTTAAAAGTGATTTATTATAGCATATGTTTTTTTGCAGAGTAGAGAAAGAAAGACTTTCTTTCTTTAAAGCTCTTTTATTGAGAATCCTCTTTTATTGAGGCACATCCAGGAACATGAATGAGTCAATTACTGATAACAAAAGATGAACGGCAAGAGTCACAAGCAATAGAAGAAAATATTTGTACCAATAAAGGAAAATATGTGTAGCTCAGGATTGTAATGAGGGGTTTTTGGTTCTCTCCGAGCTTGGTGGTTTTCTTGCAGATATTTCATTACCCAACTAGGGAATATCATCAGATATTAGCTAGCACTGATGACGTTAACTAGTTAACGTAATGAAACGTCTACAAGAAAACAACCAAACTAGAGTGCACCAAGGACCCCAGAGGAGTCACAATAGTGGAGCATACAAGATCTCATATGTGCAGTCAGAATCTTAAGTAAGGAAGCCTTCTGCAGCATAGTGTTCTCTATCTGTTGGAATTGCAATCCCAGAAATCCTGGATCCCATTGTTTTTGCAGTCTTAGCCCTTTTGTCAGGGTAACAGGCATTGTGTGGCCATGTTGTTTATTGCATAGCATCTATAGTTTCATAGTATTGCCCTCATTTATCATATTTTAATTGGGAATTGGCTCTCATACTTATGAATTTTCTATCTGAATTGCAAATGACCGCCATCATTGAGAGGATCCTTCGTTCTCTCTGAGCTTAGTTGTTTTCCTGCAGATGTTTCATTAACCATTCAATACTGATGATGTTACTTCAGGGCTGTCAAACTCGCAGCTCACGGGCTGGATACATCACGTGCTGGCTATGCCCGTGCCTGGTTTGGCGAAGGGGGGAAAAGTCGCAATACATTACATGATGCCAACATGACAATGTGAGTTTGACACCCCTGTGTTGGGTAATGAAACGTTTGCAAGCTCAGACAGCATCAAGGACCCAGAGTTCAACCCCCAGTTACAAATATTTTCTGTTGGACTGCCATCATGCCCTAGACAGTGACATCAGTAACTCTCATGGCTGCAATTGTAGCCCTAGTTTGCCACCCTGTGTAAGAAAGAAATGCTTTATCTTCTG